CACAGTAAGTACATTCTTTTTTTAATTCTATTTTTGACCAACATAATTTAAGTATGCTGTAGAAGTGTAAATATAGGTTCAAGTGTGCCATGAGATAAAAAAAAAAAAAAGGTTTAAAAACACTGCTTTGTGGGTGGCGCTAATGGTTCAGTGGGTAGGGCACCAGCCCCATATACCGGGGGTGGCAGGTTCAAACCTGGCCCTGGCCAAATTGCAACAAAAAAATAGCTAGGCATTGTGGTGGGTGCCTGTAGTCCCAGCTACTCTGCAGGCTGAAGACAAGAGAATAACCTAAACCCAGGAGTTGGAAGTTGTTGTGAGCTGTGTGATACCAAGGCACAATACGGAGGGCGATAAAGTGAAAGTCTGTTTCTATTTTTAAAAAAATTAGAACAACAAACACTACTCTAAAAGGACATATTGGTTCTTTGTGAAAACTGACCTCTCCTTACCAAGGACCTTGTATTTCTCCAGATCACCCTCCATAACTAGGAAGGTATATCTGAAGGGTATAGCTAAGGGACTAGCATACTATGTGGGATTATACTTTAGTAAAGTGGTTTATAATTATCTGGACTGCTTAGCACTGATCTTAAAGTTCTCAATCCAAAGACATAAAAGAACGTTTTGCAAAACATTTTAAAGTTTAAGGTAGAAAAAAGGAGAACAAGATAGTCTAGTTCACCGTCTGATCCCCAGTGCCCACCAGTGAATACCCTTGACAATAATTAAGGGTTAACCATGTTCTAGGCCTTATGCTAGGTAGACAGTGGGACATAACAGTACATAAGATAGTTTCTGCTCTCAGAGACTAATACCATACAGCATTCTGGACTGGAACCAGTAGAAAAATGAGCGGAAAATAGGCTAGTGTACTAACCTAAGAGTCTGTGAATGACAAGATTTATTTCTAGTCCTCCAAATGGTCACACGGCTGACCTCCTTCCAATACTCTAGTCTCTGCCCAAATGTTACCTAATAATGGAAGGCCCTTTGATCACTTAATATAAAGAAAGGTCAGGCGGCACCTGTGGCTCAAGGAGTAGGGCACCAACCCCATATACCAGAGGTGGCGGGTTCAAACCTGGCCCCAGCCAAAAACTGCAAAAAAAGAAAAATAATAATAAAATAAAGTAAAATAAAAATTAAAAAAAAGAAAGGTCACCCCCCCCATCACCATCATCTGTTCATTTCCCTTCCTTATTACCTGCTTAACTTTCCTCACAGTGTTTATCCCTATATGACATTGTTTTGTTTATCTGTTGTCTTCCCCCGCTGAAACATAAGCTCTATGATAGCAGGGACCTCATCTGTGTTATCCACTGCTCTGTCCCTTTCACCCAGTATCATGTTTGGGACACAATAGACATTCAATAAATACTTGTGTGAGAGAGGGATTCCTACCAGTGAAGCACACACCAAGAATATTTTTATGAAGTCTTTCCCACCCAGAAAAGCCTCAAACAAACAAACAAAAAAATCACAAGTCAAGCAAATTATAAGAATAAATATCCACAGAAGCAGCCTGAAATCTATGTTGCCACAAAGGGACATATAATTAAGCAATGATACTAGGAAAGGATTTCATCCACTACCCTCTTTATGATGCCTCTGAATAACAAAGCTTTTCTTCAGAATGTTCTCTGGTAAGTTATAATTCATTCAAATAAACATCAGCATAATTTAATCTCCATGAAAAAGACCAATACACAGCCTAAGAATCCTTTTCTAAACTTACGCTAAAGCAGCTATTTTTAAAAGGCTATGGGTGGAGCTGGAGTTATAAAGTTATAAAGTGAAACTGGCACAGCTAGAGAACTAATGCTAATGGGACTAAAAATTTAGGACAGATCCTCCTTTACTGGTACCTTCTAGAGTGCCCAGGCACAGTTCTAGGTACCTAGTAGGTACTTTACAAATATTTATGGAGTTTCAAAAATCTATTCTTGGTATCATTTTGATATAGAAAAGCAACATGCAAAACCCACCAAGCAACTACTAAGTTCTTTTCTTTTTTTTGAGACAGAGTCTCTGTAGTCCCAGCTACTAGGGAGGCTGAGGCAAGAGAATCACCTAAGCCCAAGAGCTGGAGGTTGCTGTGAGCTGTGATGCCACAGCATTCTACTGAGGATGATGGAATGAGACTGTCTCTAAAAAAAAAAGAGAGAGAGAGAAAGAGTCTCAAGCTGTAGCCCAGGGTAGAGTGCAATGATATCACAGCTTACAGCAGTGAAGCACACACTAAGAATATTTTTATGAGGTCTTTCCCACCCAGAAAAGCCTCAAACAAACAAACAAAAAAATCACAAGTCAAGCAAATTATAAGAATAAATAACCACAGAAGCAGCCAACTCCAGCTCTTTGGCTTAAGCGATTCTCTTGCCTCAGCCTCCCAAATAGCTGGGACTACAGGCGCCCGCCACAAGGCCCGGCTATTTTTTATTTTTTGGTTGTAGTTGTCATTGTTGTTTGGCAGGCCCGGGCTGGATTTGAACTTGCCAGCTTCAGTGTTATGTGGCTGGCGCCCTAGCCGCTGAACTACAGGCGCCGAGCCAAGCAACTACTAAGTTCTTAGGAGAAAAAGCCACATGAGAGGACTCTGAGCTCCACACTAAAACAAGAGCTGTCAGAGAAAGAAGCTGTATACAAAGATGGTTTCTAGTTCATCCTGGCACCTTTTATAAATCAGATCTAGGTACATTATTAACTTTTATTCCTCCAAATCCTGCTCTGAACTTGGAGATGAAGGGAATCAATCTTGGAAATCTTCCAAGAAGATGAATCTAGTTAGTCCTGATCAATAAATGGCAAACTGGCAGATGAGCTGATGGGTTCTTTTATGTGCTTCTTTTTGCCTGTTTATTTTCTGCAGTGAGCAAGCACTGCTTTTGTAAAAACAAAACAAAAAAAGCTTTCATTAAATAACAAAAAAATTTAATGACACAAAAACCAACAAGTAGGACAGCTATTATTTTTTTTTTCACTTTCTGCAAACAATAACAGTGTTGTATTTGTGCACAGATTCAATTGGCAGGGAACTAACTATTTAACAGATGCCTTGGTCAGATGTGTTCTAGTCACTGATAAGGTACTTTCCGTTGTAAACAATCCTCTCTTAAGGTCAGTTGGCAGTAAGTGTTTTGCAGTACAATTAAAGCTTCAAATTAAGTGTTCAAGCAAAGTCTCACAGCCCCCTTTCAGAAATGCTACAGAAGTTTCCTGCACCCTGTGAAAAGCTGGACTAGATCAGGAATTTGCAACCCCCTTGGTGTCAGGACCTCTTAACTCTCTTATCCACTGAGGACCTCCAAGAGTGCTGGTTTATGTGAGCCATATCTATCAGTATTTACCATACTAGACATTAAAAATGAGAAATGAATAAAACATAAGAACATCAGAACCATAAGAGTAGTGATGTCATCACATATTATGTAGCCTCTGGAAAACTCCACTGTACATTGGTAGGAGGATGAAGGTGAAAAAGACAAATATCTTCTTAGTATTATTCTGAAGAGTTCTGATCTCACAGACCCCTGGAAAAGCTTGAGAATCACTTGTTTAGATATCAAGAACTCTGCCAATGCTATGGTTCTGGGGCAGTTTCTCAACTTTGGCACCACTGACATTTTGAGGCAGATAATTCTTTATTGTGAGAGGCTGTCCTGTAGTTAGTAGGATGTTTAGCAGCATCCCTGACCTCTACCCACTAGATACCAAAAGCAAAACCCCTGTTGTGATAGCCAAAAATGACTCCAAATATTGCCAAATGTCCTCTGGTTGAGAACCGACTGTTCTAGGGTGTTGATTTTATTCTACTGAAATGTGAATTGCAAAACATTATGCCTCTCATTATGCTTCTCAGACTCCTAGTATGTCTACTTCCTTCCCATTCCCATCTAGGTCCATTCCCTCTGTTCTTTTGTTAGGTTAAAACAGCAAAAGCCAGTGAGCAGGAACCAGTACAGGATGAATCAGGTCAGAAGAAACGCTCTGGCCAAAGTTTGCCTTTAGGCATTAAAGCTCTTAGAGACCCAGTGCCTATTGGGGCAGAGCGGGAACCTGGTCATAATTCAATCCTTAGCATGGTACCTACTCTGACCCTTCCAAAAAATGAGGTAATGGGCCACCTGTGAAATGGGAGAAGAAAACAAGAGACTCTGAAAGCAAGGAGGTAGTACACAAAACTCAAGATACGTATACTACCTAAAACCTCACTTCTGGGAGACCCTCCCAAACTGAAGTGGCTGGGGGATTTTTTTTGTATCAGGTCTGGCTGAGAGGAAGTACCAAAACTGGTAGAAACCAACATCCTCAACACCTTGAAGTCAGATAATCACTCCCTTATTCTCCAGAGATTGGGTCCAAGTTTTCTCTCCCGGAAATCGTCTCAGTCTCCTTAGGTTCCTTCACCCTCAAATTGTGACTACGAAACTCAAATCCAGCCTCATTTCTCATCTCTTGAATCACCCTTTCTCCATAGCCTCAAATTCCTACCTACAAAATTCCCAGCCTGTGCCTCTAAGGCTCGACGGTCCTATCTCCCTGCCCCCACACACACTTTTCCAAAGCTACTCCACGCGGGCACGGTCTCTTCCCTCCCAATTTTCTTTCTCACCTCATAGTTTTTCCACCATCTTCAAAACTCTTCCCTGATCCCAAGAAACCAGGACTCTCTTAATTGTCTCTGTCTCCTTAGTGTCTTCCCTAAATTACTGTTTCCACCCTGACTTTCTCCATCCTTCATTCTTCCCTGACTACCCGCTCCGCGTTCGCACCGCCTTTCGGCTCCTTTTTACTCTCATGGGCCCTTCTTCCCCTCCATCCTTCAGTCAGGCCTTCGTAGGTCACAGCTTGTCTCCTAAGGCCAACGGCCACCGCCCAGTGTCAGCTGCTGAGCCTCTCAAACCCCTCCCCCTCCAACCAGTCTTGCAGGTTATAGCCTTTGAACTGACGCCCCGGGCCCAGGCAGAGAGACCAATCAGGAGGGCCCCACAACTCACCCAGAACAAGGCAGAACAGAACGAGCCCCAAGCCCGGAACGAGGGACAGGCGGAAGCACACCATGATCTCGCAGAGCAGGCGGCAGCGGCGCAGCAGCGACGACGGCGGCGGCACTAAGAGCAGCAACACCGAGGAAAAGGCTTCCTGGACCTGGGACTACAGCACCAGTGACCACCGACCACAACGCTGCAAAAAGCCAACACTCGGCGCTTCAGAGAGAGTCATAAGACTAGGGGCGGGGCTCTTTTTTGCTTACAGCCAATGTTCGCGCTGGAAAGCGGAGAAAGGGGTGGTGATGTAGACGCCGGTGGGCGGGGCGACCACGCCCTGACTTTTTGGTTCTCAGCGATTTTTACGCGCCTAAGACTATGCGCGGACGGCATTTTCTAAACCTAAAGCGAGAGGAGGAACTTTTTAGGGCTGTAGTTAGTAGATTATTTCCGTTTTGGCTCCTTGAGGAAGAAGAGAAAAATTTTGCTGGCGCAAAAACAGTTGCTAGGCATAACAACGTAATACATACAAAAATAATACATGGGGCGGCGCCTGTGGCTCAGAGAGTAGGGCGCCGGCCCCATATACCGAGAGTGGCAGGTTCAAACCCCGTCCGGCCAAACTGCAACAAAAAAATAGCCGAGCGTTGTGGTGGGCGCCTGTAGTCCCAGCTACTCGGGAGGCTGAGACAACCGCATTGCCTAAGCCCAAGAGCTGGAGGTTGCTGTGAGCTGTGATATCACAGTAACTCTACCGAGGACAACAAAGTGAGACTCTGTCTCTGAAAAAAAATAATAATACATGATTATTCTCCAAACACTATCATTACCTGTGCAGTTCATGCTATTTAGAAAAATGAGGGAGCTAGAGGGTAGTGTGGTGTCATTGACCACTAGAGCAGGTCGTGGTCTTGACGTTCACCTAGTTACAACATCCTGCTTCTCAGTTGGGGAAATTGAGCTCAGCAACAAGAAGAGTCTTTTTTAAATGTAGAGAAAAAAATCAGAAAGAAATAAAAGAGAAAGACAAAGGGGAAAAAATAAAGATCATCCATATTCCTACTACCCAGGGAGCAAGAGACACTGTTTAACATCCTTATGTATGGGCGCACACACACACACACACACACACACATACCGTGTTACCCTGAAAATAAGACACTGTCTTATATCTATTTTTTCTGAAGAAGACACACTAGAGCTTATTTTCAGGGGATATCTTATATTTATTAAGTATAATATAACAATCTACATTTATTCAAATACAGTTAAGTCACCTTCTTCTGAAACCTGACAGGGGGAGCCGACCCTGTTGGTGGGGCTGGAGCTTGTGATGAGTGAACTCCTTTCCCCTAGCCATTCCCAGGTGCACAATAGGATGCCTGTGCAAGTGTGAATGGCTCGGAGAAAGGAGGTGTGGCAGATAAAAGGTATTCCAGTCTTCCTTACTGCTTGCTCCAAAATGAAGGGCATCACTAGGTCTTATTATTGGGGTAGGGCTTATATTTAACAAATGCATAGAAATCCTGCTAGGGCTTATTTTGGGGGTAGGTCTTATTTTCAGGGAAACACAGTAAATATATATATATACACACACATATATTCTTCACAGTATATATATATATATATATACACACACATACAGTATATACACACACACATATATATATATACACACACACATATATATTCTTCCAGATGTTTTTTTCTATGCATATACACACAAATATTCTGTAAAAAGTTCATACTAAATATACTGGTTGGTATATTTGACAAGTGAACAGAAAAAAACTAAAATATTCAACAGATGAAAGCATTCAAAAACTATAAAAATCTCTGGTTGGAGCAAAGAATTTATTCTCAAATGTTAGTTTCCAAAAGAATCATCTGGGGATGTTAAAAAACATACAGATTCCTATACCTTCATTCCCCAGAAATTTTGAAACCATAGGTCTGTGGCAGTCCTATGAATCTTATTTTCTTTAATAAACATCCCAAGAGGCAAATCATCTAATCCAGGAGCTCTTAATCTGAGGTCTATGCATGAGTTTAAGCAGGGAGTGTGGAAAGTGTCAGTAAATCCTCAGAAATTACATGCAACATTTATTTGTGTATTTTTCTGGGGGAAGTTCATAGTTTTCATAGTTCATAAGAACTAGTTTCATTAGTTCTTCACACTAATGACCACCCCAAATCAAAGGTTAAGAACCCCACTATCATCTGCTTTAATGTTATAAATTCCTGAACATGAAAACACTTTTCAATGAATGTCTTCCATCATGGGTGAAATGAAATCATGAGCAAATAATTTGGCCAGTACACAGGGCTGATAGACACTACAGTATTAGTCATTGCCCTTAGCAAAATGTCATTTGGTTACCCTATCATCAATAAGATCTGGCAGCACCTATACCCTAATTATAGTACTCTTCAGGGAACCCACAATTGGGGAGAACTCTCCAAAGTCGCCCCACTAATCCTTACGAATAGACTCTGGTCCTTCTCCTGCAAATGTAAATTGCATAACTTTAACGTTCAACAGAGCCTTAAGTTCTAGAATAGACAAGAGCATCCTGGAAAAAATATTGGATTGACAGAGGAATCGAGTGTGAGATACCACTTACTGGCAAGTCACTTTATCTCTTTAAGCTTCTGTACTTTATCTGTAAAATGAAATAGTGAAGACTAGAGCTGTGTTTCTCAATCCTGGCTGCATGGCTGCACAGTGGAATCACTTGTGGATCTCTATTCTTATTTACACGTTTGTTTCTTTATTTGTTTTTGAGACAGTGTCTCACTCTGTACCAGGCTAGAATGCCACGGCATCAGCCTAGATCACAAAAACCTCAAAATCCTGGCCTCAGCCTCCCAAGTAACTGGTACTACAGGCACCCACCATGATGCCTGGCTAATTTTTCTATTTTTAGTAGAGACAAGGTCTTGCTGTTGCTCAGAGCTCATCTCCTACTTCTGAGCTTCTGAGATCCTCCTGCTTTAGCCTCCCAGAGTATTGGGATTACAGGAGTGAGCCACTGTGCCTGGGTTTGCTCCCACCCCTTGAAATTCTGATTGAGGCCAACACAGTGGCTCGTGCCAGTAATCCCAACACTCTGGGAGGCCCAGGTGATTGGATCGCCTAGTTTGAGATCAGCCCAAGCAAGAGTGAGACCCCGCCTCTAAAAGTTGCCAGATCTTGTAGTCAGTGCCTGTAGTCCCAGGTACTTGGGAGGCTGAGGCAAGAGAATCACGTGAGTCCGGGAGTCTGACGTTGCTGTGAGCTGTGATGCCAGAACACTCTGCCAGGGGCAACAAAGTGAGATTCTGTCTCAAAAAAAAAAAAAATTCTGATTGAGTTGGTCTGTAGTCAGGCCTGGCACAGTGTTTATCCCAAAACTCCCCAAGGCTGGCTCAGCGCCTGTTGCTCAAATGGCTAAGGCACTAGCCACATACACCAGAGCTGGCAGGTTCAAATCAAGCTCGGACCTGCCAAACAACAAGGACAACTACAATCAAAAAATAGGTGGGTGTTGTGGTGGGCACCTATAGTCCTATAGTCCCGGCAACTTGTGAGGCTGAGGCAAGAGAATTGCTTGAGCCCAGGAGTTGGAGGTTGCTGTGAGCTGTGATGCCACAGCACTCTACCCAGGGGGACAGCTTGAGGCTCTGTCTCAAAAAAAAAAAAAAAAAACCTCCCCAAGGCAGTATTAATGGGCTACAGACCATCTCTAAGGTGGCCCAAGCTTCATAATTCTAAGATTCTGTCTGAGTAAATACACATTAATTTAAAGTCTAAGAAAATAAAGTGTCCTACTCAGGAGGCGGAGGCAAGAGAATTGCCCTAGCCCAAGAGCTGGAGGTTGCTGTGAGCTGTGATGCTACAGCACTCTACTGAGGTCGAGAAAGTGAGACTCTGTCTCTAAAAGAAAAAAGAAAATAAAATGTTGACAATAAACTTATCAAATACCCTGTTTAATAAATTGCTGCCCTTTATCTCTTACAGGTGACATCAAATTTTTAAAAAGAAACAGTGAAATACGAGCACCCTCATAAGCAAAATTCCCTATCACAACCTTTTCTTCAGACAAAAACACTTGCTGGGAGCAGTGCCTGTGGCTCAGTGGGTAGGCCGCCGGCCCCGTATACCGGGGTGGTGGGTTCAAACCTGGCCTCAGCCAAACTGCAACAAAAACATAGCTGGGCGTTGTGGCGGGCGTCCTTAGTCCCAACTACTTGGGTGGCTGAGGCAAGAGAATTGCCTAGGCCCAGAGGTGGAGGTTGCTGTGAGCTGTGTGACACCACAGCACTCTACTGAGAGCAATAAAGTGAGACTCTGTCTCTACACAAAAAAAAAAAAGTTAACCATTTGGGGCAGCGCCTGTGGCTCAAAGGATTAGGGGAACGGCCCCATATGCTGGAGGTGGTAGGTTCAAACTGCAAAAAAAAAAAAAAGAAAAAGAAAAATTTGCTGGTTCCTTGAGTAGGACAGGCCCTTTCATGAAACAGAATAATGTTTGGGGAGTTATAGGTGAATGCTGGTTATTTTGTCAGGATAGGCTAAAAATTCTCAGATCTTTGCTCTGAGAATCCGTGCTCAAAATTGCTTAATGCTTTTTCCCCAAAACACTGTGAGAATGACCGCTTTCTGTATACAGTTCCCCATCACCCTATCCCAGGTTGAAGGAGCTTTTGTGGGCTTTCTGGAGTGAAGGCAGATGTATATGTAGGACTGGGGTTGATGTTTGAGGAATTCTGTGAGCTGCCCCATGGTCTAAACTTCACATGGGTTGACTTGATTGTTGACATTGCTGTTTTGTGTGGTCTCCTGATCATACCTCATACAGCCCTTGTGCACAAAACTCTTTGGCATCCCCTCCCCTACTGCCATGTGTAGATTAAGACTATTTTGGGAAGCTTTTAAGCACATGACTTTTGGTTGTTTTTTTTTTTTTTTTTTTTTTTTTTTGCAAAAGAGCAGGGTATTACAGGCAAACACTTCCCTAAATGTCAACATGCTGATGGTGTAAGAAATAATGACCCTATCATATTTGGTAAATGATAGACACTGACATGTGGGGACAGGGTGGGGGAGGAAATGAACTTAAAGGCGCAGAAGTTTAGAATGGAAAAATGATAAACAATTAAACAAATGAATGAGCAGCCCTGAGGCATTAGTGTTATCTACTTGCCACCTTGTGATCTTTATTTATTTATT